GGTGATGCTGGTACTGCCAATTTACTATGAGTTGGTGATGCTAGTATTGCCAATTCACTTTGAGTTGATGATGCTAGTACTGCCAATTTACCTCAAGTTTGTGATGCTAGTACTGCCAATTTACCTTGAGTTGGTGATGCTAGTATTGCCAATTTACCTTGAGTTGGTGATGCTGGTACTGCCAATTTACTATGAGTTGGTGATGCTAGTATTGCCAATTTACCTTGAGTTAGTGATGCTAGTATTGCCAATTTACCTTGAGTTCGGGATGCTAGTATTGTATATTAATCTTCATCTACTTACTATGACAGCAGTCTAGAAATGTGAGATAATCTATTTTGGTTTACAATTTATGCTAGATATACTAATCTTTTTTTAATGTGTGATGCATAAAACCAACTCACATTCATAACTTCTTTGCTCAAAGTGTGGCATGTTATCATTGACATCAGTGATTTCAATATTCATTTGACAGATACCAATAAGAGGATCTGGTGCAAGATCTGTAGCTGCAACTGAAATACCGTAGATACGCTTCACTTCACGATCAAAACGTCTAGCTGTAGTGATAATGCCAAGATTAGGATCAATTCTGAAATTGAGATCAGCAGTCTCTCTACGAACTATACTATATTCTACTTGTCCATTAGTACCAACATCTGCATCTGTTGCTAAAACCTGAAAGTTAAAAAATAACAAATCATAACAGAGTAGAGCAACAACAGACTGGAGGGTGTACAAGTACTTTTCATAGTTTTGTCCTAATTTTCTTTTCATGTTTATCATAAATCAAATCTTAGCCACTCTTTTGATTAAGACTCACACATTAATGTTATAGTACTTTGAACTGCATTTACACAAGACAGATCAAGACAATAATTTTTAATCTGTTTTTCATATAATTATAAGAGTTGCAAACAAGCAATGTTTTCCCAGAAAATTGTCTCTGGGTTGTGACTACCGTAAAAGTCCTAATATAAATCACGGTTTATATTACAATACATGTATATCAATTTAAAAATTGGGGTCATTTTTAACCACAACACTTGCAAAGAACAAACAAAACAGTATAATATTTTGAATAGGCGTCACTGATTTGGTTTGTGATAAAAAAAAACATAAAATTATATTTTAATGTAATATGCATTTATTTTTTTTGATTATGTTGGTAACAGAAGGTATATTCTAAAAGAAGGTTCATATAAAAACTAACAGGAATGCATTGTTTAGTAGTAAATGAGGTGGCAGCTTTAAAGCGAGTAGAGCGCGAAGTACGTTTCACACGATGTTACGTTATTTTTTTTCATTAGCAAGTATAATTTGTTATGACTATATTCATCACTTTGAATTCCCAAATAAAGCGTGTAGCGGGTCAAACTGTTTCTTGGCAATAAATATCGTTTTATTAAGAATATTAAGAGAGAAAAAACGTAAAGCTCTGTGAATGGATTGAAACTACTGCAGAAGATAGAAAACTAAAACGGCAGTGTCAACGGATGGGTGCACGCTCTCTGCATAAACGTAAACGATGGCTTTGTTTATTTGGCCAATGTCGACGAGCAACAGATTTCCTGTAATCCCTTCCTCGTCTGATCACCGGCCCTCAA